TTTTTTTTTTTTTTTTGGACAGTCTCCCTGTCACTCAGGCTGGAGTGCAGTGGTGCCATTCGGCTCACTGTAACTTCCGCCTCCCGGGTTCAAGCAATTCTCGTACCTCAGCCTCCTGCGTAGCTGGGATGGCAGGCAGGTACCACCACGCCCAGCCAATTTTTTTGTACTTTTTTAGTAGAGACGGGGTTTCGCCATGTTGGCCAGGCTGGTCTCGAACTTCTGACCTCAGGTGACCCACCTGCCTCAGCCTCCCAAAGTGCTGGGATTACAGGTGTGAGCCACCGTACCCTGCCAGAATTCGTTATACATTCTGAATACTAATCCTTCATCAGATGTAAGATCGGTAAATATTTTCTCCCATTCTGTGGGTTTTCACTTTCTTCATAGCGTCCTTTGATGCACAAGTTTTAAATTCTGATGCAGTTCAATTTATCTATTTTTTTTTCTTTGATTGTCTGTGCATTTGATGTCATATCCAAGAAATCACTACCAAATCCTGTGTCATGAAGGTTTTCCCTACGTTTTCTTCTAAGCTCTTTATGGCTTGGGCTCTTACTTTTGGATCTGTGGGCAGGGCGGTAGCCCCAAGCCTCCTCTGGTCCCCAGGCAAGAGCCCCCTCCCCAGGCACTTTTCTTCACTGTGCTGTGGTGTTTGGCCTCTGCCACGCTGATAGAAAGCAACAGAGGGCAGGGTCCCCAGCCAGTCCTGCAGCCTCTCCCAGGACCCAGGACCCCAGGGCCTGCCCATGGCAGCATCCACCGGCAACCCCTCAAGTGGGTAAACACAGGCTGGGTGAAGAGCAAGGTCTTCTTTCCCACCCCACAGAACCTCTCAGGACCTGCCTGCCCCCACAACCGTCTGGATCCCCCCCTAAAACCCAGTACATGTATCCAGCTGGCCTCCCCTCTCAGGAGAGTGGACGAGACCTTGACAATCACACCGAATGCTTTGTTCTCCTGCATCAGACCACCTGGCTCGCCAGCCACCACCCCTGCCCTCAGCTGGCCTCCTGTCCACACCTGACAGGTGGGGATGAGATGGTGCCACTCCGCTGCTGTGTGCAGGACGGGGTGGCACTCCCATGCCCTCTGAAGAAAGTTCATGTGCAGGGCAGCTCGGCGGAGCGGGTGGGCGGTGGCCAGAATGTGGCGCCCTGTGTCCCAGCCTCACAGCCTCCAGGGCTGCCCGTCCTGCCGTAATCACACTGGAATCTTTCCAGCCTTCCGTCACTGTCTCAGCTCATTCGGTGACTCTGCACCCCCCAGGGCCAGAGCTGAGTCCACACCTGGCAGAGCAGACTGTCTGAGAGGACAGCCAGTGACTGCTTGAGAGGAGTGGCTCCATGGCTCCCTGGGGCCGACCTGGGTCACTGCCTCTTTGGGTTCTGTCCGAGGCACATCCCCCGCTGGTGCTAGACAGCAAAAGA